ATTTACGAGATAACCAAGTCTTAGGACACCTCGTTAACCAAAACGACATTTTGGTAGAATCGGCCAAGATCGAGGCAGTCATGCAGTGGGAGGTCTCGAAGTCTCCTTTAGAGATCATGAGTTTCTTGGGTTTAGCAGAGTATTATCGGAGGTTTATTCAGGATTTCTCCAAGGTAGTTGTACCTCTCACTTATATGACGAGGAAGGACATGGATTTCTATTGGGGGCCTGAGCAGCAGGTTGCATTCGAGACCTTGAGACATAACTTATGTGAGGCCCCGATTTTGACCCTCCTGGAGGGTGTGGGGGATTTTGTGGTTTATTGTGATGCTTCTATCACCGGTTTGGGGGTGATACTTATGCATCGAGGGAGGGTTATTGTGTATTCTTCTAAGAAGCTGAAGCCGCATGAGGTTCGGTATTTGACGCATGATCTAGAGTTGGGGCAGTGATGTTTACCTTCAAGTTTTGACAAAACTATCTATATGAGGTTCGGTGTACCATCTACAATGATCACAAGAGTTTGAGATATCTCATGCATCATTCGAATCTTAATATGAGACAACATTGATGGCTTGACATGGTCAAAGATTATGACTACTAGATTTTTCATCACCTGGGGAAAGCGAATGTGATCGTTGATGCTTTGAGACACAAGTTGGACAGTTCTTCTATTAGGAGAGTATGTATGAGGATTTTTATCGATTCGCCGCTTTTGGACTTGATCAGAAAGGCTCAGGCCAAGGGAGTCAAGAAGAAAAATTGGAAGCAAGAGAGAATCAGGGGGTGAGATTGCCAGTTTTTTTACCGATAGCCATGGATTGTTAACTCGGTGCGGTTGGGTTTGGGTATCAGGTTTTAACGACCTATAAAATGACTCGCATTAGGTGTCCACTCTCACCCACCACTCCCTTGTATGGTGGATTTTCGTTAGCCGAACGGGTTTGAATGGACTTAACCTTATTAAAAGTATAATGATATAAAGTACTAGAACATTTTTTGAAAATCTTACACTACTTACTTTAGGAAAATGTGACATTGTTTGCTAATCCATGAAAACACACATCAATCTTTATGAGTCGTTAGTGAAGCATGTGTGATTAACCGACACACTAATTTAGGACTATAAACTTATTATGATGGCATAACTCACAAATTATCATTAATTGATGGAGCGTGTGTGGTTTACCAGAACATCAAATTTGAGATAATAAAAGACTTCGAGGTTATCAAGAGAGTTTGTATGGTTATCCACATCTTATTTGTGATCACTAGCATCCCAATCACAAATCGAAGAGCATAATCTGAGATTAACTCATCATTGATTGTTCAATGATCTCAATAGATCTTGGATTTTCGTTTGATTAAAATTGGTAAAGTGCTTTACCTACCCAAAATAGATCTGTGATGTGATTACGACATTCCTCTTCATGTTATGAATCGTATTTATGGATCCTAGCCTTAATTTAAAATTAGGTTCATAAGGATAAAATCGACTTAATTAAACTTTCTCCTTTAAGTTAAGTGGAATCGCCTCCCACCTCCTCACTTACCTTCTAAATTTTAACATCTCTTTGCTCTCCCTTGAGAATGGATCATTTATTATGGGATCTTTGTAACATCCCAAAAAATATAGTCCAAAATTTTTGTTTTAAATCATTTAAGAAAAACCCATAATTAAAAAAAACAACATAATAAAACCACAAATCGTGTATCTCAAACATCATATCAAAATACGGTATCAAAACCATGTATTAAAATATCATAGTCTAAAATATCCCTGGCTGAAAACTGTGGTGTGTGGCATGTAGTCATCCTGAGCTCTTCCCCTTGCTACCGGAAATACCTGAAACCAAAACTAAAAACTGCAAGCATGAAGCTTAGTGAGTCTCCCTAAACAACCACATACCATACAAATAACCACATAATATCATACATTGGGCATTGCCTACTATATCGGGCCCCACCCAGCATCGGACGAATTCGACATCGGGCCCCGCCCTACATTGGTCCAAAGTCTGGTATACATATAACATAGCAACATGCATATAACACATAAACATATAACATATAAACATACAAACCCTCCTCGGGCTTGCAATGGCATCAGACCGAAGTCCAGAACACATAACACATAACATATAAGCTAAACATTCCTCAGGCTTGCCCCAACATCGAACCAAAGTCCTGAACACATGAATAAACACATGCACGAATCACGAAGACATCAAGCATACAAACATTCCTCAGGCTTGAACCGGCATCGGACCGAAGTCTGGAAACATATATTCTACCTCAAGTTGTTTATAACTACGTTCCTAGTTGTAAATCAGCAAAGGAAATATGGAATACTCTCAAAGAGAAGTTTCAAGGGAGTGAAAAGACGAAAATCAATTCGGTAAAGCATTGTTTGGTTGGATTGAAAGAATTCAAACAAAAGGAAGGTGAATCAATTGAACTTTATTATGATCACTTGAATGAACTCATCTACAAATGCAATCGTAATGGGATAACAAGGTCAACCATGGAGTTTAATCTCACCCTTATTATATGACTAAGAAAAGAATGGCGAAATGTTAGTCTAATGGTGAAAACTCAACAAAGCTTTGATACCTCAACTCTGAATGACTGGAGCCAGAAATTCTTGAAATGGATGAAGAATCGAAGATAAGCTTACGAGGTCCACTTGCTTTAGTTTCGAAAATATCTGAGAAAGAAGTTGTTGAAAAAGAGAGTTATGATGATGAAGGCTTAATTGTTAACTCATATGACGTAGCCATTGTTTTCTACTCAAACAACAAAGTGAAGAAATTTTATAAAAAGCCATTTGGTTTGAAAGTAAAGACTGGAGAAGCAAAAGTGAGTTTTTCTAGAAAAGTGAATGAGGGGAAGAAGTTTGAAAAGAAAGAATTAAAGAATGCAGATTCAAAGGTTGAAAAGAAGCTCAAAGGAGATTCTAGTGTCGATTGTCACTATTGTCATGGGGCAAATCACATGGCGAGTGATTGTATGCTTCGAAAGAAAGAAGAGACGATGAGTAAGATCAAAGACAAAGCGTACTATGTCGAACTATTCTTCGTCAAGCACCATGGACCTGGTATGCAACTCTGGCTAACTTTTTGAAATTTTCGAAATTTAAACAAGGATCAGTTGATCCCACTCTTTTTCGAAAGAAAGTTGGGAATCATCTAATGCTTGTTCAAATTTATGTGATGATATCATTTTTGGCTCTACTGACCCTGGCTCGTCTAATGAATTTGAAAAATTGATGAAAAGTGAATTCGAAATGAGTATGATGGGCAAAATCAACAACTTCTTGGGTTTAAACATTCGTCAGAGCACGACAGTTATTTTCATAAATCAAGAGAAGTATACACGTAATATTCTTGAGAAATTTGGAATGACGAATAACATAAAGCTTAGAGTACCAATGGCAGTTGGAACGAAGCTGAGTCCTTTGTTAAATAAACCTACCGTGGACATAACTTTGTACCGAAGCATGATAGGTTCATTACTTTATCTTACGACTAGTCGACCTGATATCATGTTTTTTTTGTGTGCAATTGTGCCAGGTACCAATCAATCCAAAGAGAACCGCATCTCATTGCAGTCAATAATATTTTTCGATATCTAAAAGGAACCATTTCGTTATGATTATGGTATCCTTCGAAAACAAGATTCTTTATTCAAGCATTCCCAGATGCCGACTTGGGGGTTGCAATTTAGATCGCAAAAGCACAAGTGGTGGATTCCAGTTACTTTTTGGGAAGCTTGTGAGCTGGCAATCGAAGAAACAAACATGTGTTTTTATTTTGACTAAAGAAGCAGAATACGTGGTTGCTGCAGCATGCACTTCTCAAATCATTTGAATCCAAAGTCAACTGCGTGATTATGCAATCAATATGAAGAAGATTCCGTTATATTGCGATTCACAAAGTTCCATACGCAGTTTCCACAATCATGTGAAACATTTAAAAACAAAGCATATTGCACTTCGTTATCATTTCATTAAGAATCATGATGAGGATGAAAACATTGAAGTTCATTTTGTAAAAACCACTGATTAGCTTGCTGATATTTTCACAAAGCCTTTCGATGAAAAATAATTCGTGAGAATTATGGCAGGTCTAGGAATGATCGAAGGAAATTCAGTTCCTGGATCAAGTTCGAAAGATTGATAAGGAAAACATGGAGTACAGTTGTCGAACTCAGCACTTAGTGTTCATAGTCAAAGCTTCGATGTGCTTCGCTTTCGACATGATGTTTCTCGTTTTAATCAAATCTTCGTTATTTTATTCTTGCATATTTTTACATTCAAAAATACCAAAAAGATTTTCATTATTTTTGTTCTTTTTCCAAATTTTCGATAGGTAGGTATTTCCTTTTCATCATCAAAAATCAAAAACAACAAAAATATTTTCATTTTTGTCTTTACTTTTCAAATATCAAAAATACCAAAAAGATTTTTCATTATTTTTGTTATTTTCATTCAAAAACTTTAAAATTCAAAAATATTTTTTTTGTTTAGTCTTTTCAAATGCTCGAATTAGCGAAGGTTTGTAGAGGTTCAAGCTGGCTGCTTAAGGGACATGTATATTCTCAACATTTTGTCCTAGTTAGGATGTCCCTAGAAGCATGCTGTTGTATGTCGACCTAATCCTCCAAGACTCAATGGGTTTCGAAGCCTTATTGAATTTTTCACTCTGAAAATTCTTCCCAACGAGGTTATATTCCCATCAGTCGATTAGCTACCATACTCTACTCAAATAAGTTTAGAGTTATCCGTTTGGTCCATATATCGTAGTGGTACATTCGAATCTCTATACTAACCTTTTTCATCCTAAAGTTATTACACACTCACACACTATGACATATGTCCAAAAGATTTCTGATATAAACCAATCAGGATCTAGACGTATCAAAACTTTGTGTTTATAATCTAACATCATGAGACCATGATGAAAGTGAAACC